AACTCGAGAAACAATTATTTTTAGGTGTATTTGTTTTGGTCGGTATTATTTATCCATTATTTTTAGGTGTCGTATTTGTATTGATTTTTTTAAAAATAAATTCATTTAAAAAGAGAAATCTAGATTGCAACCACTTTCAATACCATCGAAGAAAAAAATCGTGTAAGTAATCTGATGCCTGCTATAATAATTTTCAGCATTCTTGTGTTAAACTTAGTACACTAAAAGAGCTGGGAATCAATATAACTTTGCAAAGTATTTATGTGACTCAAATCTCTTTCTAATGCATAAAATAAAATTAAACGTAAGCGTTGATAATATGGTGACTTGCACCATTCCAATACTCAATTTTGGGAGATAGGATTCTCGTCGGATTCTCTTTGTGAGAATTTCAGAGATCCGTTAATCATGTACTTTAATCGTACATCATGCAGTTATAAATCATTTAAAATTATATTATTTAAAATTAAACACAAATAGTACCTAACGAAAACTGATCGCATAATATACGATGAACATACATGATTAAGAGATTTTTGAAATTCTCCCAAAAAGAATTCGACGAGGATCCTATCTCCACTTTTGGCATCAAATATTACTTTTACGTTCTTTTCTTTTTTCCTGGAAATAGCCTTAAAACGTGTTGTGCTCTATGTCCCATGTTCTCCAATAAGAAATCCTAACCGTTGATAGTCATCGACTGCCAAGAAATCCACAAAAATTCACATGTTGCATAGTGATTGGCAAAAACATATTTAACAACTCCGAGACAAACATCAACCGTCGATCTGATGATCTTGGGTAGTGGACGGCTATAGATCTTGCAAACATGTGCCTGCATGGCAACCATCATTGCCATAGGCAGCATCATCCTCCATGCAACATCGGGATGATCTCAACTCTCATATATATAATATGTTAGATCCCCATATGTTATTTCCCATGCGGGGCAAATGCCACGGTGCCACGTGGTATAATGCCATGCAAACGGCGTATATTAGCACAGTCTAGTTTGGGCTACTTAATTCTTGAAGTCTATCATTTACGGCGAAATCTGTAGCGATGCCAATTATACCGTTGTCGTAGGGTTTTTGATTTTTTTTGATTTTTTATTTTAGTACAACAATATATTTTACATTAAAAGGAGGGGAGAGTTTGGCTAAACTACACAATAGACAACTTAAGTTGGTATCAAATTCATCATTCAAAAGATTCGAACCTAAGACCTTTCATTTACAAATAAAAAAATATATCATCAGATCGTGGTACTGAATGGCTACTGTTGTGGTAGTTATCATAAGAATTTTACCCAACTTCTGTTATATGCAAATTCACTTCAAATCGAATTCACGAAATTATTGGATTGATTAGTAAATACTACTCTATTAATTCTGTTAATTAACCAAAATTAGCAACTAACATAATGTTGTTATCTGTTCTGCGTGAAATGTGGGGCCTAATCAGGAATGCATTTTTGCTCATCACCATTTAGTGTGGTGTATGATCATCACTCTATTTATTATCGTAAGATAAGTTCGAATTTTGAGATTTGTGTTTATCCACTATATGAATCTTGAAATTTAAACTCATTTAACGATGATAAATAAAATGGAAAATATACATCATATTAAATGGTGGTGAGAAAAAAATGCTCTCCTAATCAGGGGAGGTGACGCCGTTTTCAACTGACACGGACGTTAAGCAAGCTTATGATTAGGGGGGTCACGGACTCATGGCCCAGGGGACTGTGCTTTAATTTCCTTTGACGGGATTGACCCCGTGATTAACGGCGTTAGGAGCGGGTTCCTTAAGAGGCCCATGAATTACGGTCCAAATCCATTTCTTCGGAACTCGGCTTCTTTTTTGTGGATTCTGGGTGGGTCCCCTCAACGGCTACTTGGGATTTGAGGTGTAAGGGAGACAAGGTGTCACGTCAGCAGTGCAGCACCGTTTGCCAAGTGGAATTTACTAAAGTTGGAAAAAAAACCAATATTCTTGATAAATTGTGAGTAATTTGCATATTCGCCCGCTCAGCCGGTGTCCGGTGATTTGGACCACGTGTCAATTCCTCCACGCGCCGAAATTAGACGCTTCCCCCAGATTGGATTAAATTGCCTAGATGCTCGACTTAAATTACCAGATTGGTATCACAGCCCGCTTGTTTTGTTTAATGTTTAAAATATCCATATCGATATTTTCATCCACAGATACATTGTATATAAATATAGGTTGCTTACAATCTAATTATGAAATTTAAAATGAAATTTTAGGAATATTAAACATTGGTATGAATGAAATATAAAAGTTTTTTTTGATATTTAACAAATGTGTTAGAAATATCGATATTCGACAATATCTATCGAATTTAGCCTAGACTTGATAGTTTCTCCGATATAAGGTAAAGTTTAAACTTCACCTCCTATTTCCCTATTGTTCTCTAATTTTTTGAATATTTTTATGAAAATATTGACCATAAAAGAAATTTTAAATGACAATAATTGGCTACTCAAAGATGAGTAGGAACTCCTAGTTAAAATTTCTCAAAATTGTTCGTTGTCAATTTATAGAATTTTATGTTTATAATCAGAACCGTTCATATTATAAATCACCATATAATGATTGCAAAAAATCAATTAAAATTAATGTTGTTTAGTCATCAAACTGTTTAAAAACAAATGAACGAAATTGATAAAAACATTACGAACTGTTTATGTATTTGCTATAATAGATTGACTAAACGATCTTAGTTTTAATTTATTTTTTGTAGAGATGATATTTACAGTGTGATTCATAGTTTGAATGGTTTTGATCATAAACACAAAGTTTTGTGATTAAAATATTAAGAGTTTTAAGTAGGAATTTCTAATCATCTTTAAGTAGTCAAATATGGTTCAATATTAAATGCTGATTGTGGCAAATCCGTAAATATATGCCGTAATATGGGGGTAGTTTAGGAAAGCAAGCTGCACAAATAAACTTGAAAAGGGACGGCGCCTTGGGCGGTTGCCTGATTGAGCTGCTTTTCCTTTTTTTAATTAAGTTTTTAAAAAGGATAAAAAGAGTTTAAAGGTGAACTTTTTTTTGCCCCAAAAGTCTTAATAATAATTTTTTTACCCGTAATGATTCATGCTTTCTCAATTCTGTCTATTTTTATTTTATATTTTTACTTTTAATGGAATTATTATTTGAGCACTTTATACCTCTTTGAAGAATGTAGACTTCTTCAAAGATTAACATTCAAGCTATGAGTACTCTATTTCAAAGTCTTGAAGGTGGGATAAAGTGTTCGAAATCACTGTATAAGGAATAATGGAATTAAGAATTAGTTAATGCGTGTTACCGACGACTTAAGCATATATCTAAATTGCGATGGCAGTTTAAAATTCAAAGCACGTTAAGATGTTATATAACCGAAAGGTATAATTATGTATATCAATGCCATAGTAGTATAGACAACAGAAAGAAAGTGAAGATGAGAAAGAACAAATAACTCATTTTCAACGGTCCACCAAGTTCTTAGATATTCTTAATGAAAAAGTGGGAGGCACTTCTCGTTGAATAGAACAATAAAATGTGTCCCATATGAGTTCATAATTCTTCTCAATGCAATAGTAAACCGCATGCTTTGCATGTCTTATTGCAAAGTATGATGATAAGTCATGTGTTCAGTCCAAACATATATTGATCATATTGTTGACAAACTCTCTAATATAGGAGTTCTACGTAATACTGTTTGGAAGGTATTTATGAGCATTAGATCTTTTCTTTACCAAACTTGTAAACGCGTAATTATAATTTCATTTAAAACATTCACCAACCCCTGCAACATACAACATCCATACTATGTTATAAATTCTTATGATATATTCCATATAATTTGAAAAATCATTATAATATTGCTACGGTTTATTAAGTAGTTCATTCATACGTATGTCGCTTATGTGGTGTTTGATTGGTAACAAGACGGATCATCCATTTCACTCGTTGTATTACCAGTTAGTCGTTTGTATAACGATATTTGGTTTTACTTGATTAGAGAATGATTCAAGTTTGACTAAAAGTAGATGACAAACACAGTATTTATCTGAGTTGCATACCTAATCGTAACCTATAATTTTGTGATTGCATATATTGAATGACAAAAAATACGCAACTATCCATTCATTTATAAAAAAATAAAATAACTCTTAATTTGTATTGTGCGCAATGCAAATTTGATTACTTAATTTGAATTGAACAATTTCGAAAAAAAAATCCCCTTAGACCATCTCTAATGGTTGGGTTAAAAGTCAAATTTTTTAGCCCGAAAAATTTAGTTTTTAGCCCAGAAACAGTTTTTCTGTTCCAACCGTTCTAGCCTAAAATTTTAGCCCGAAATTATTAAAGAATGAATTTAGGCTATTTTTTTTTGTTAAATTAAATTAAAAAAATAAATAAATATGTAGACTATCGTAAATTAATTTTATGAACATTTTAATCTAAAAAAATTTAAATTCCGATAAATATTGGGTGGAGTTCACTCCCATTTATGGGCTAAATTTTGGGGGGAATTTGGCATTGGTTTAGCATTTAGCATTTAGCCCAAAATTTCTCCTTGGGTTGGAGTGGGTTTGGGGGAAAATTTTGGGGGGTAATTTGACTTTTAGCCCACCATTGGAGTTAGTCTTATTAAGGATAATTATATTGTCCCTTAATTAAAGAGATTGCATTACAACAAATTTTGAAAAATTAATATGACAAATCGTTCAAAATTTTATTTTATATTATAAATTTTAAAAAATGTATAAATTCATGACATTTCAGAATTTTTTTAGAATTTTTTAAAAAGAAATTTACCCTATAAATATAAATATAAATATAAAAGTAATAAAATAATTGGTGAAATAAAAAAGAAAGAAACGAAAAGAAAGGCGTGGAGCGATGTGCATATGAACGGAAAACAGCTCAACAGCTTCCACTGACACTCGGCAATAAAATGACTTGCCCTTGGCCTTGTCTTCCTTCATTCCCCCCATTAGCCTTTTCGGCTCTCTCTCTCTCTCTCTCTCTCCATCGCTGTTGAGAGATAGGGGTATTCTTACAAGCGTCTCTCTTTCTCTCTCTGCCCCTCTCTCTCTGCTCTTGCTCTCTTCTAGTTCTTCACCTTCTTATATATACACTCTGAATTCTCAAAACAAATAAAAAAGCTCAAAAGAAAGCAAGAAAGAAAAACCATTTATTTTTTAGGTGAAAAGATGGGGTTTTTTCATCTGGGATTGTTTCTGTGTGCCTGCCAAGTGCTTGTTCTTGGAGTTGTTGCTTCTGCACCCTCTGGAAATTTACCAATCATACCCTTCGATGAAGGGTACACCAAGCTTTTTGGGGATGACAATTTGATGATCCTTAGAGATGGGAAATCCGTCCATCTCTCACTAGACGAACGGACAGGTCTGTAATCTGTTTCCCTTTTGGGTTTCTGTCTCGAGAATCATGTGAAAGGGTTTTGATATTTTTGGTTTCTGGGTTTTTGAGGTGGCGACGTTTCATGAGTTTCTTTTTTTTTTTTTACCTTGAAGTTGTTGTCTTTGTTTGGTTTTTGGTGGCTATGTCTGTTTGCAGGGTCTGGATTTGTTTCTCAGGACCTCTACCAGCATGGGTTTTTCAGTGCTTCCATTAAGCTGCCTGCTGATTACACTGCTGGAGTTGTTGTTGCGTTTTATGTGAGTTAATCCTGTTTTTCTATCTGATTAAGGGTTTTAATTTATTTTGTTTCCCTCTTTGTTTGTTGTTTGATTGTATCTTACGTTGTACAAAATAATATGACCCAGATTTTTACTTCTCAATTTAACAGTTCAGTAAAGATTCAATCTTTATGGTTAGCTGATTAATCTGAACAGTTTTTCCTTTAAATTTGGTGGTGTGGAGCCCAGAAAATGTTGTGGATCTAATTCTACCAATATCCAATTAAAAACTTGTTTTCTCAACCTTCTGAGATAACCCAGATAGGCTGCTTTTAACTTTTTACATTTTAAATGTCCATTTTGTCACCTGAAATTCACACCCAGATGAGTTTTTACTTTCATTTATTGTGTTCAAGATTTCGGTCCTGTTAAACGAACAATTTTCGTTATCAATCGGATGACTAAATACTCCACACTGATGTTTGCTGGTGTTTTCCTTTTTATTTTCTCATTAAGCTGTTAAATGAATAGGAATACAGGTTCTAATCTGTTTAATGTTAACAGATGTCGAACGGTGACATGTTTCCGAAGTACCATGATGAAATTGATTTCGAGTTTTTGGGGAATATACGGGGCAAAGAATGGAGGGTTCAGACCAATATTTACGGCAACGGAAGCACCAACACCGGCAGGGAAGAGAGATACAATCTCTGGTTTGATCCGTCCGACGATTACCATCAGTACAGCATTCTCTGGACTGACTCTCAGATCATGTGAGCATCAATCAAAACTCTCCACTCTAAATTCGGATTAGAATGCTAAATCTATCTGTTAGCATATCAACTTTTCGTGAGGCATATTTTTCCATATTGTCACCAATAATGTCATGTTCTCTGAAGTCTGGAGTTTACTGTTTTGGGGTGGGAGGTTTGATGTGATGCCTCTGTGTAGGGAAAATGCAGAGGCGGGGTTTCTCCTTTTAGGAAAATACAGCACATAACTTGTTCTTTTCGTTGTTTTAATACCGCCTCTTGTTTTGTCAAAACCAGCTGTGGTTGGTTTGTGAGAAAAGTAGAAAAGAAAAGGATAGGAATTTTGGTGCACGTTTTCATATTAGGGAAACTGGATGAAAATAGAATTTTTGTAATTCAAGCGAAAATTTTGTTCGTAGCGATTTCTCGCCTTTTATTGTTCACCTCATTTTTTATGAGTTCTGTAATTCAGATTTTGATCGGCGTACTTGTTTCCAATGTCAATTACTTGCAGCTTTTATGTTGACAATGTTCCCATTAGAGAGTTCAAGAAAACAGAATCAATGGGTGGTGACTTCCCTGCTAAGCCAATGTCATTGTATGCCACAATATGGGATGGATCTGATTGGGCTACCAATGGGGGCAAATACCGAGTGAATTACAAGTATGCTCCCTATTTGGCTGAGTTCTCCGACCTTGTTCTACACGGCTGTGCAGTTGATCCAATCGAACAATTATCAAAGAAGTGCGAAAAGACCCAAAATTCAGAATCAGTCCCTACTGGTGTCACCCGCCTCCAAAGAATGAAGATGGAGAGTTTAAGGATGAAGCACATGACGTACTCCTACTGCTACGATAGAATCCGATACAAGTCTCCTCCCTCAGAGTGTGTGATCAGTCCCCAAGAAGCTGAAAGACTGCGTGTGTTTGACCCCGTCACATTCGGGAAAGGGAGGCGCCGCCATGGAAAGCATCACCACCGGAGCAGAGGAAGCCAGGCAGAAGTGGCAACTTCTGTTTGATGAGGGCTGCAAGCAATGTATGGATTCTGGTATGAATGAGCACTACAGTCACTCCATTGGTATTTGGTCGATATATATCTGCGCTGGGTCAGTTCTTCGGTGTATAGAGAGAGCGGAGAAGCATAGATTTATTGAAGGTGGATAGAGTTTTACAGGGTGTTTTGGGGGGGCTGGTTTGTGTATAGTTTGTACAACTTTTAGAATGTCTCCTTCCCAGGTTTCCATTCATGCTTTTCTTTTGGCTTTACGAATTGAGATTTTCTCTGTACTTATGACTCACCCTCATGGGTTCAATAAATATTTGAGCATATGGAAGTTTCTGTAATATGTAGTAGGCATGGATTTTCTATTTGTTGTGTACATTTCTACGGTAAACCAGTGTATGGGATGCGCCAGAGTTTGAATGGCTAGATTGTGGCCGTTACAATTCAGCCGTCCACTGCACCGGTGCATTGCTTGTAGGATTTTCATTTTTTTAAATTAATTTAATTTTTAACTTTTTATTAATGTCAAAAAATTTGGGCCAATGTCGTTTTATCTTCAAAAGTCATAGCTGCCCAATAAATGGTTGGATGGTAGTTTGTCAATGGTGAATTGGAATCCAAGGTCAGTAGGATGTGACAAGAGATGTAAAATGGGTTCAGTATGTTGTTCTTTACCTTCATGGTGAAATGTGAATGCTGCAGGTTGGATTCTTCAAGGCTTCAAAGCTGGGTCCGTGACTTGGAAGGGGGAGAGGTAAAAGTAAAACCAAGTAAACATGAGGAAACAAAACCTGCTAGCCTACACATGGTGGCCCTGGCAGAAATTGACCCAAAAAAACTGACTTTATAGAGAAAATTAGTACGAGTGTCTGACCTCGTCATTTGTAAGTTAATTTCACAAGAAAATGCAGAATCTCTTATGTTTTGATCTTATTTGACTTCACGTTTTACTTATTCAGTGACACACCCCGACCTGGAATGTCTATCTGGATTTCGAATCGAGTTATGCTGACCAATATCAGGAGGGTGACAGAGCCATAAGTGTAATGATGTGGAAAATGTGAATAAATTAAAACCTAAAAGTGCCTAAATATAAGAGTGCGCTTGTGAGCGGGAATGAACATATTTCACACGTGATGTCAAAACATAAGTAAAGTATAAGTAAAGTAAGATGAGAATTATATCCTCGGAGATAACCGCCTACGCACTCGTTGGGTCACGTACTCCGAAGATATGTGTGTAGTAACTTTGGGTCAAGCACAAACAATAAATAAATAAACTAACGTAAACGGCCTAATTGTCCACTTGCTTAACAAATCCAACAAATAAGTTATCAATATTACGGTCAACAGAAATCAGCAATCTCGCCTCAAGGGGCATTTTCATCAATTTACTCTTTTAAAATTAATAAAAGAGTAAAATTAAGGACGGGTTGTCACATTCAATGCTAAAACTACCTTAGTCAGACAACTCTATTGAAAGTTTTCCGTCATTCATGAACCACTTTTGTTCTTTCCTTTTTAATTTTTTTTTTTTTCTTGAGGTGAAAAATAATTTGAATTTCTAATGGAATTTGTTTTCCTGGAAATCCTTTGGACCACTAGAGATGAGAAATGAGCGGTAGAAAATTGGTTTGGCATGAGGCTCATTGGGTAAGTGGTAAGGTAACCCACCCTTGCTGACATAAAAAAATGAGGTTTTGCAGCTTTGCGGTCCTCTTGTCCACTTGATTTCTGTTGGTCTTTAACGGAAGGGAAGATGAAAAGGGTAAAAAACATGATGGCATGCTTAAACAGGGTGAACGAGTACAATTGCCAAGCAAACGGTTACAAATATATAACTAAATAGTTCAACTATAAAACAGACGTCCGTTTTGTTTTTTACAAATGAGCAAGTACTGATGTGTCATCGATATTGTTGATCAGTGTCACAAACAAAACATATCTACACAGTATATGTATTTTGTTGATTATTGGCATTGGTGAATCATATGGTGGCCAAAGGAAGAGGCTGAAATGTCTCTACGAGTTTTCTCAGCCCTAAGATGATGAATTGTCTTTGCAAAGCCACTAGCTGATTTTTTATTTTTTTATTTATTTAAATAGTTCAATTGAACAGACTTATCACAGAGAAAATAAATTACAGTAAGTATAAGCTTCATGCAAATTCAGTTTCCTTTTTGCGATGGTAAATTCCGACCTGTAATCCTCTTTTATGTCCTTTAATTGTTTATTAATTTCTTCACAACAAGTTACTACTTTAACATCTGCAGAAAAATATAAGTTAGATAAATAAAATGGTCAAGATTCTTGTGTAACAAAAACAAAAACATTCAGAACCGACCACTTTGGGTGAGTTTGGTGCATGTTTTTGCCAAACTAAATAAATATTAAGGTCGTAATTAGAAAACAAATACGAGGTTAGAACCTTATTGTCGCGAATCGCTTTGACATCTGCTGAACGATAAAATCCATCTGACACAGCTAATCTTGTCCGCAGCATTATTCACTAACCCTAATACAATAACCATAAAATTAAAGAATCTTATACCAAACTTTATTTTATAATATTGGTTTAATTATATATATATATATATATATGGTTATATCTTCAACCAAAAGCAGTAAATTTACAGTTTTATATTGGTGGTTGCTAGCTTTTCTTAGATGTGGTAGGTCAAAATGTCTTAATGCAGATTTTTTAACCATAGTAGGAGAGGTAATAAAAAGATTAGGCGAGTGTAACTGCACACCACGTAGAGCAACTATAGTTGTCTACCCTCCATTTGCAAAGCTAGCCCTTGATTTTATATTTTTGGTCAAACATGAACTTCATTGATAAAAGAAAATGTTACAAATGTTAAACGAGATAAACATAAAAATAAGCTGCAATTAGGTCGAAAAGACAAAGAAGTCCAAGCAAAACACATCATGACCAAATTAGACCAGTCCGTTGATAGAAAGCTAGCCGGACATGAAAACAAGAAATAACATAACAACATATAAGAAAATATAACATAATTACTAACAAACTATGTATAATAATTAGGTTGTTGTGACAAACCTGGGTGCAGCCAAATAGCTAACGTAGTGTGCCTCGTTTCTACACCCAAGTTCATTCAAGTCTCCCGCTTAGTAGTTTAAATTAAATTAGAAAATCACTCGAATAAAAAAACAAAAAAATTAGGTTGTGATGGTGCTGGTTGGTTTTCTAATAAATGGGATTAGGCTGGCTCTAAGTTTTTAAATTTTAAAGTTACTTTCAACATTTACAAGAAGCAGATCTGCTGTTTTTATAGCTTTGTGGACTTTATTGGATGTATTTGGCATAAACCATTCTGCTTGCTTTTGCCTATGCAGTTTGCATAGTGGGTTGTTGCCTTTGCCTTTACATAATCTTACGGCCTGTTTGGTTTCGCATATTATAACAAAAATGGATAAATCTTTGGCTTCAAGAGATCCTAGGACCCGTTTGGTTCGCAAATTAAACTAAACGCTATTGTAAAAATGATAATTAGGCCTAATAACTTCTTGCACAACATGTTAACTTGACACGAAACAACATGGTATAAAAATAACAAGTTTCGGATCAACCCGTTAACGAATCAGGTTATTATCAGGTCTTCGCTAAATACGCGTTAACAAATTAGATCGTTATGAAGTCAACTATTAAAAACCCGTTAAGATAACGGGTATGACACACAAATGACACAAACACACCCGTTTGCAAAGTCTAGACATTAGAGACAATTTTTTGCATGACCCATTAATCTGACACAACACGACTCGTTAACGAATCGTTTCATTATCGGGTAAGATAATGGATTTGACATAACACGATAACGAATATGACACGAACATGACAAACACAACCTGCTTGTCAGGTCTAATGATACTACACGAAACTACTAGTGAAAAAGACTCATTTGAATAATTTTTTGGTCCCAAGTATGACTGGAGAAACAAGCAGCTCACTAACAATCGGGAGACGAAGCTATATGAGCAAGATCCATGTTCAAGAAACTGAGAATTATAATAATACACTTGACCAATAATACATGTGGCTTTCAATTTTTGTTGTCTATTATTTGAAAGCGAGTACACGGGATGAGTTTGACGATAAGGATATTTATATTTATCACCATGTCACATAACATTGTGCAGAATCTGCAGATCAGTCAAGCCTCTAGTTCTCAGATTCAGACTCTTTTCTCTCTATCGACTTTATAAAGTTACGCACAATTGTCTTCCCTTCGGAAGTTATGATACTTTCAGGATGGAACTGAACCCCCTGCAAATTTCAAATACATTTGGTTAGAAAGAAGGCATAGAAGTCAGATTCAACAATTTAAGATCTAATGAGATTAAAATTAGTTTGTTTGAGGCGAAACAACTGCAATCCAACGCTACATCGTGGCAGATTTTCTGTTTCGTGGATGTATCGCATGGCAATGCATGTCAAGGAAATGAAGAACATCAGCTAACTGAATCGACGCAACTTCATCAACTTTTATGCTACATGATTAACAATTTTATATCATGCAACAACCGAACAAAGAATACTTCTTCCAGCATGGTATTTTTAGCGTGCGATAACTTCTGTGTCTATGCTACTTCAAACATTCCTCGACCCTATTTCATATATTATATTTAACCCCATGACTGATCTACTAATTGGCCAAATCATCTATTGCCCACAAAAAAAAAAAGCAACCATAATCTCCACAGGGCTCTCTCCAACAGTACCTACTACCTATCTACTCCATGCCTCAAGTTCAATAAGTGCCAAAAATTACTTTTAAAGCTACGAATTTTCAACGCAAAGCATTGTCATTAAATCTCTCTGTAACCTAATAAAGGAATCCTAGGATCAGAAATGAATCGCACGGAAACTGCCTGTCAAAATCTTATGACTCTTCTTTATATGGTACACAACCTGTCCAGGAAAGTGCATTTTCTGTATCCAAAGCAACTTATGATTTATATTACCTAAACAGCACAACATTCTCCCACTGCATAATAGTTTTGAAAAAAAGAAAAGTCCAAGGAAACCGTTTCTTACTTGAAGATGCCTGTATTTCTTGTGACGAGCAGCCATTATCAGTCCATCCTCTGTCCATGCTGTAATCTCAAGTTCTTCACCAGGAAAGCTGTCCTTATCGATTACAAGACTGTGATATCTGCCAGCAGTGAAAGGGCTGAAAAGACAAAAAGAAAGTTTAGTTGTTATTTGAGATCCCATTAATGCACAGGATGGTTGAAAGTTTAAAAGGTAACCTAAGAAAGGTTTTCTCATACTAGTTTATTATTTCATTACGTTGCAAACAACAGGAGAAACCTCA